GTCAGGGAGGAGGAGTCTGTGGGTCAGGGAGGGTCTGTGGGTCAGGGAGGGTCTGTGGGTCAGGGAGGGTCTGTGGGTCAGGGAGGGTCTGTGGGTCAGGGAGGGGTCTGTGGGTCAGGGAGGGTCTGAGGGTCAGGGAGGGTCTGTGGGTCAGGGAGGGGTCTGTGGGTCAGGGAGGGTCTGAGGGTCAGGGAGGGTCTGTGGGTCAGGGAGGGTCTGAGGGTCAGGGGGGGGTCTGTGGGTCAGGGAGGGTCTGTGGGTCAGGGAGGGTCTGTGGGTCAAGGAGGGGTCTGTGGGTCAGGGGGGGGTCTGTGGGTCAGGGAGGGTCTGTGGGTCAGGGAGGGTCTGTGGGTCAAGGAGGGGTCTGTGGGTCAGGGGGGGGTCTGTGGGTCAGGGTGGGGTCTGTGGGTCAGGACGCTCAGCGTCTACAGAGCTCATTAGTGATGCGAAGACTGCACCTGAACGAGACGAGTCATTGGATAAATGTTGGGTTTTGTCCCGCCCATCGGACGTTCAGCGTCTCTGGGGGTCTATGGAGCAGGGGGCTGGCCCTGACGCTCAGCTTCTGCATGATGATTGGATGATCTGTCTGAGCCTGAATCCCTTTTTGATTGACAGCGAAATAAGCGAATCAGAGATCTTTTGATGTAAACATTCATTGGAGCAGTTTTTAGTTTCGTTTCCGTTCTGAGGTGAACCAGAGGCTTTATTAATTCTTTTAGCATCATTTTTTTGTTAAAAACGACTAGCGACAAATCAAGCTTCTATTTCTGATTAATTTTTTTGTAGCTGCTTGTGTTTGGAGACGGACTTCTATCACTCTTTTTGACTTCTGTCCAGCAGGTGCTGCTGAGCCCCTCCACCATCATAAACTGGGTTAGACATAACCATTGTTTAGTTTGTCTGAGACAACCTATTTTCATTTCAGACAACCAGATCCTGTCTCCTGGTTGTCTGGTGGACAACCAAGAAAAAAAGACCTTGATTAAAGTTCTCTGCTGTGGGTGTCTATTTGTAAAAATGAAAGGGAGAAAAAACTTGGTAAAACCGAACAGAACACTAAACTGTAACTTTTAATAAGGTCATGTACACAGTATACTCCTATTTAAGTGAAAATGTTTGACCTAAGAGCAGAAAGAAGCTTATGAATGTTGAACTCTATTTCAAAAGAAGAGAATGAGGAAGTTTTATTCACACAGATCCTGTTAACCTGCTGACTGAGAACAATTATATATAATAAACTTTGTCTACAGAACAATATACTTGTTAAATTACATTTTTCTCGAGATTCTTTTGGACAACCAAAATGTTTTGCAGACAACCAGGTTTTGTCAACAGGTTGTCTGCTGGACAACCTGAAAAATTATCCTTATGTCTACCTCTGATAAAGCACTCACAGACGGACACACTTCACTCTAGCCTCGCGCCAGTCTCAGCTAGAGAACTAGCTACTGTAGGTAGCAAACTGCACATAATGGCAGAAAGTTTGAATGTTGTGGACCGGATTTTGGCGAAGCCATTTGATACAGTCCTCCTTACGAAGAAAAACCTAGAAACAGCAGGGCTGATCAACTCCTCAGATTAATTTGGTGCAGAAGGTGGGGAAACATAACAGGTCTTTTCAGCTGTCCTGGTTTGACAAAGTGAGCTGGCTGACTGGAAGTTCTGTAAAATGATCTGTAACAGGGTCACAGATTATTTTCTTGAAAAGGAACGGAGGGTAGAATTTAGGTATAAATAAACAGACACATTTTATGATGTAGGCCGAAATTGAGCTTCCTCTTCTTGAAAGACCAACATCCGCCACTGGTGTATGTATGGGTCAGAGCTGGTGAGAGGGACTGCACATTTTCACACCAAGTTTGAGTTTTAGAAAAGGTAATTGGACTGTACTTGTATAGCACCTTTCTATCCAACCAGGATACTCAAAGGAACCTTTGTGTGAAAAGTGGCGTGCGCAAGTTTCTGGGCTCGTTTTGTGCGTACGCAAGCTTTATAAATCCAACCTCTGGTCCTTTATAGAGGAAGGTCTGCACTGACTGGTAGAGCTGGAGTTGAATGGTCCAACCCAGACGTCCAGCAAGAGAGGCCAGCCAATCTCAGAGATGTCACTGTACAGCTGTGCCAGCCAATCACTGACCTGCAACAGCACATTAAAAACAAACATGGCCTCAGGCCTGAACACCAATCTTACCATCCAAAATCAGCCTGCTTTTTTCCCCCAGTTTAAGAATATGTTTGTGGGCTGTTCCTAACCCAGATTAAAGATAAAGGGTAGAATGCCCCTCCGGGTCGAGGGGAGAGTCTTTGCCTCAAGTGGAGGAGTTTAAGTTTCTGAGTGTCTTGTTCATGAGTGATGGTAGGATGGAGTGGGAGATGGATTGATGAATTGGGGCCTCGTCCTCAGTAATGAGGGAGTTGATTCGGTCAGTCGTGGTGAATAAAGAGCTGAGTCGAAAGACAAAGCTCTTTATTTACTGGTCTGTTTTCGTTCCAACCTTCACCTATGGTCAGGAGGCATGGATCATGACCGAAAGAACAAGATCCCGGATACAAGATGTCAAAATGAGCTTCCTCCTTAGGGTGGCCGGACTCAGCCTTAGAGATAGGGTGAGGAGCTCTGTCATCCGGGGGGAGCTTGGAGTAGAGCCGCTGCTCCTCCACATCGAAAGTAGTCAGTTGAGGTAGTTCGTCTGATTAGGATGCCTCCCTTTAGAGGTGTTCCAGACAAATCCCACTGGTAGGAGGCCCCGGGGAAGACCCAGGACACGCTGGAGGGATCATGTCTCCTCTCTGGCCTAACGCCTTGGGGTCCCCCAGGATGAGCTAGAAAGTGTCACTAGGGAGAGGGATGTCTGGGTTTTTCTCCTGGACCTGTTGCCTCTGTGACCCGACTACAGCTAAGCGGAAGAAGATGGAGATTAAATATATATCCTCATATATAGCACAAATGAATGATCTAAAAGGTTAATAATGTGGGAAGGAGAGATCTTATTTCTCTGCACCTGTTTCCACTCAAGACATCAACTTGGATGCAGATATTTGGGTAACACTTTACAATAAGGTACACAAAATTTGATTAACTACTAGGAAACGCCTTTGGAACTAATCATGTGAGGTAAATGAGGTCATTGGTACAGAAATGTGATGAGGCCTGTGTTTCAGTCAAGAGATTGTTTTTGTGTAGATTTGTAGCGTCTCCCACTTCCTTATCAGGACATGGTATGTGGGCCTCCAAAGTTCACCCGTCAAAAACATCTGAGTAAAAACATGCTTGGGTGTCTTAGTTTACATCCTAGGAGCTCATCTACAGAAGGAAATGGTTTTGTTTAAGCCCATCCCAGTATGATGTAGACCAAGGTTTCATAAAAAGGAAATAGCTCCAGAGTTTGGGGCTCTCTCCCTGATTGGCCTTCGAGGGTGCGTGATTGAGTATAAGGCAATTATGTGAAATAAAATGATTCACTGTTTCATTTAACTAAGCCTGTCAGAGTCATCTTTCTCCATGTCGAACCACAGCGACTGGAACTCCCAGGAGAAGACCATCATTCAGTCAATCTCAGAGACACTGCACATGTTCTAATGGGTAGTTAAAACAGAGCAGATTGGCATTGTTTACAACTCCTTCTGTTTGCTGATGGTCCCAGTTGAAATCCAGAGAAATCCTTGTCTATAGGAGAAATCCCAAATGGACCAGTGAATTGAACAGGACTGTGTAGGAAGGCAAGTGCCAGGCTATATAAATAGCTGTTTCCTTATGTTCACAAAGCTGAAATAATAAAATAAAAAAATATTCAAAGCCGTTAAACGCATTTCCTTGTGGACAGGGTCTTGATGAAAACTGAAAGTATCACAGCTCCTCTCACATCACTTCTAATGTCCTAATTTGACTTCCTAGAAAGAGAACTATCAAAACTTATAAAGTGTGAGACAGCTATGAAATCACATGATGTACATGTTACATTTAATTAATGTCAAAATGTTTGGTAATGTCAAAAGAACAGGAACAAAAACCCACTCTAAGCAAAACTTCAGTGTAAAAGAAAGATCATCACTTACCATCGCAGCCCCAAGAAACAAAACTCAGCAGGAAATCAAACCAAATCCTTTATAAAAGACCAGCCAACAGATAGTTCGATAAACAAACACAAAGTCCAGTGCTTTTTGCCACTGAATGAGTAACACAGCAAGAGCTGAACAAACGCCTGGTAAAGGTTGAGCTTCTAAAAAGTTACTCATTAACAACCAGCTGCCTCAATCAAACTCTCACTGGCATTATAGAGAAAAAAACAGATATACTTTCAACATAGTCAAGCTGTTCTTTCACTTCCTGCTTTTCAGAAAAAAGGCTTCTACTCGGTTATAACTAAAGAGACACACCTATCCATACAAATACCCTAGATAAGTTATCTAAAAAAGAAAAAGAACAGTTTAGTTCAGCTGTTAGTTCGGTGTATTGTACATACCATCAGCTGTCAGGGAGGATCCAGGCTCAACTGATACGACCGGCCAAAGGGCTGCGTGCTTTTAACACCAGGATATTTGCAAGTCAATAAAGGGCTGAACTCACTTGCTTCACTTCATTTCCTCATCCTGTGCAACTTGTTGTTTCAGCAGTACAATGAACACAGACCCACACTACATGTAGTCTACTTCATTCACACTGCTTTTAATAAATTATTAAACAGAAACATGGTATTTTTAAATACGCACAGTAAACATAAAAAAATTATACTGTAATTATAGAAAGTTACGTGTCATGGACTAAAAATATGCTTAAAGAGATCCCCGATTAGTTGTAACATTTGACTTTATATGATCAACAAATACTTTAACTGTAAAATAAAGACTGTAAAAATACTGTAGGATGTTCCGTTTTTACAATTTTTGAACTAAAAGTTTAAAAATATATACCACAGACGAGGCCATTTTATTTCCACACAAAGCATTCTGGGTAAATGATGACGTGGATAGGTCCTCGGTGCGAGGCTGCTAGCGAGCTATATCCACCCTGAAGGTTAATCCATCCATCCATCCATCCATCCATCCATCCATCCATCCATCCATCCATCCATCCATCCATCCATCCATCC